CCCACAGTTCCAGCTTGGGCGGGAATAACGGTAACCTGCGTGCAGAATGGGGGTCGTTTTTCCTAATCGCTGACGCTTCTTTCTGAAGATCACGAGGTTAGCGCTTCCAGTGTACGTCTCCGTTCAGTTTGTCCTCCTATCTCTGTATATGGCTTTGAGGGAGACCGATTACTTCCACAAGAAATAAGCCCTCATATGAGCATGAGCGACAAATTGGAGAATGAACAACTGTGCTCTCCAGCAACTACCAGTTGGTCCGTCATTTTTCCGAGAAAAATCATCAACCCATGGGAATTTCACGGTCGTCTTACATCGGGAGGAACAGTAGTTCGGATAGATATTCTGCGTCTCACAGCCAACGGGTGGACCTAGCTGCCTAGTGCATGACCTTCTTAAGGTTGTCTTCTGACCTACAATATTTGAAAAACTAGAAAGTGGAAGTTGATATATCATGTTTCTCTTCGGCAGCAAATTGAGAATCACCCGAAAAGTCATTCCTAGCATTCCTATAGCGAAGAAGGTGGTGTTAAACGGTTATAATGTGGTCACAATTTGTCTAGATGTCTTCATTAAGGCGAGATGGATCGGTGGTTAGATCGCGAATTTATTGACAGGAAGGCGTGTGGTTCGAACCCTACCCTTACATCTCGACTTCTCCTGTCTACGCTTGGGCACCCTGACAGTATACCAGCCTTCGTGCTTCTTTCGGATGGCATAATAGCTAGGAACCAGAAGGGTGTTACAGCTGAACGACGAGATGTCTTTGTTGATGAACTTTTTGAATGTTTGTAAAGATAGACGACAAACAAAGTCCGAGAGTCTAACCTTGGCTACTTAGTCTGCTGGTCTTCCAAGTTATAAGTAAGACTGAGTGACTCGTCCGTGTTGGCAGTCATTCTACTGTTTGCATGGCCTTAGCGCAGTAACTGTGGGTTCCAGCCGGGGAAGATTACATCTCAATGATGTCCAAAATTTGCTGTTGTATTTGGCCCCCATTTTTCATGCGCTTTGTAAATGAGGTAGCCTAGTGATTAAGATGGAACTTACTGACCAGAAGGTCTACGGTTCGAACCCGAATTCAGCATTTCGATTACTTTTGTCTGAGGTTCTGCAACCTGGCAGTATCTTCGTCCTCGTTCTTCCTCCGGATGATGTGGAAGCTAGACACCGATACACTGATTGAATTTCTGCGGGTAGCAGTGATTACGCTTCGGTGATGTTTGAATATAGTGAAGAAAACAGCCTTCAATCCATCCAAAACGTCTGATTGGCCAAGAAATCATTTCAAACTTTGACGATATCTGGACCTATCCTTTCTTTTGAACAAACCAAGAATGGGCGGCCTTTTTCTCGACTCCTTCAACAGTTTAAAACTTATTTCTTTCAAACAGATCCTCTCCATTGATTGTCTTTATCCCCTGAGTTTTGTGTCAGGACCACCGAGATCATTAGGTCACAGGTAAGGTAGTATTGAGTTGTGGCAATCTTCAAAGTTCACCCAAAGTGCTGGGTGCAAGATACCTAATAAGGAGGTAACTTTTTTCTCCATCACCCCGGTAACTGCTTATACAACCACCTATGAGTACAACGGCTATCTATTGTTCAGTCCTGGGAACACGGCGCTCCAGGTAAGTACAGACAGACTGGAAGCGTATCACACACCTTCCATCTACATGTGAAAAACATGATGTGAACATCTGGTTTGGTCTGGATGACAACTAAGCGTGTCCTAGTTGATTTATGAGCTAAGCTACAATTCCACGCTAGTCAACACATCTGCTAGGAGCTACTGATTACCCGTAACCTCAGAGTCAGTGTGTGAGGACACGTCCTCAGGGAACTTCAAGATACAATGCCGTACCACGTTGGTAGCTAACCCAAAGAACAAAGGCCAGAATTTCATATCCGTTCTCAAACCTGGCCGCTTCTTAAACCTTTTCTACGTTGGATTACCCACACTTGGGCGGAGCCAGCTGAGACTACGCTGCTCTAAGTACATCCTGGAAACCCCTGTTAGTTCACATTTCACCAAGGGACAACAGGAGGAAAACTGAAGACCGGGAAATGAAGCGTACCACGCCCATGACCTCTGTTACTAGGATTGTGCGGATAGATTTTTGTTGTGCTCACCTCCAGATTCCTTGCTCGGTTTGGATTGACTAGGCAGACGTGAGAAATACAGACAAGAGTCTACATTCGTGGCACCATTTCAGTGTATTGCTGCTGTGAAACTCGAAGTACGAGGACTGAGATGTTGCCCAAGACTAGACAGGTTCTCTCGGTCAGTCAATTCGCCTCATAGAACGGCCCAAGCAGAGAGGAAGGCTAAACCATCTCAGCACGGCATATGAAGAGGTTATTCACTTTAACGAAGGACTCCCTCGTGAGGCCGCTGGTCGTTGTAATTGCACGACAAAATCTTGATACGCATGTACACATCCATTTGGCCCATTCGCTCATCAGTTTCCGTGGCAAACCATATGGCATCTGGGCCGATTCGCTACACCACGCAGACTGGATCAGCACGACAGTGGGCACGTGATCCGACAATCCATCCAATGACCCGACTACATGTGACTAATTTTCCACCAATCACGAATCCGTTGAGCGCGCACTGATCAGTTTTCGCCTCATCCAGTCATCTTTGACACAACACCATGATAGTCGAAAGCCCGGACCGTTTAAATATTTTTTTTTAAAATCCGGACGCAGCAGCTGCTATTTCCATAATCTTTTTAACCAATCTCAATCGGACACCTTTTGCTCCCAAAAGTGGGAATAACTGATAAGAACAAAATTTCCACGGGCACATGTACCTCCATTATGCTAGGGGCAAAAACTCTTAGAATGAAAGTGATGAGAATTCAAGCTTGGTTCAAACTGCCCCCCGCCCACTTGCTACTTTAACAAAGCCAACGGCTGCAACAGTTGACAATAAATACAGGCTTGAAGAACGGGTTATCAGTTTGCCTACGAGCCTTGGGCACAATTCGGTGACGTTTTGGGAACAGACGATTCTTGAAGCATCCAATCTCACACAAAACTCTAGGCTAGGGTAATCGCGATTTCTTTTGGTCGTGTTTGGCAGTAACTGATTGCAAGTTTTGTTCCATTACCTTGGCATATGTACCTTGGATTAGGTTGGCTTCAGACACGAGGAATACTGGGTGTTTGACGATTCTTTCCACCTGTGGCACAAACGGGTATTCTGTAGGGTAATGAACACATTCGGTGACCACCATATATCTGGAAAACGCAAAAGATCTAAATATCTGTCCTTGAGGATGAGGAGCACTGAGTGGTTAGAGTATATCGCCACTGAGTGATGATCATCAACCCAACTCATTGTAATACGGCACGCCATCTCGTAGACTTTACAAACTGTTTAGGTCCCCATACTCCTGTTCGGTAGTTGGAAATGTCGAACATGCATTTGTGAAGGCGACGTGTCAACTTACCATGCGAACGAAACTGTAGAAATGCAAACACACTACCTGAGCTCCACTGCATTAGGTGAGACATGCAAGATAATCTGGGCAATTTGACCAGGTAATTTTAACTGCACCAGCTCTTCAGGTGTCCTCATGTATGACTGGTTTGTGTGGTACCAGATACGGTAGTCCACTTTTACTTAAGTAGTATGATAGAATAAGTAATCGAGGTCATACCAAAGCACATGTTACGTTATACTGTCGGCACATAATCTCCATTTCATGTGGGGATTGCGGCAGTCGACGGAAAAACTTGGTTACGAACTGGATTAGTCATTCGCCACAGCAATGCACACAAAGGCATTTGCTTTGCGGACAGTATAGGTTTTGATACTGTAATACGGGTTTCATCCTGCAGATCGTGAGCACTTATGCGAAGAAGCACTGAATAGCTTCTTCGTTCTCGTTGAAAGTTGTCTGAAGATGATATGTGACGAAATCCTGACAGTTATCATCAGCAGCAGCATCGACAGCATGACATCAGTGTTCACCACCGATGCTCCACCGCCGTCACGAAGAGACTGAACCTTACCGTGGTGTGACAGTTTGCGCACCTCAACGATCCATTGAGCTATACTGGTGAGTGTCCTCGTGACAATCACAGGTTGGTCAATGTTTAGAGGTCTGATGAACACAGTCTCCTGGCCCTCCAGGTTGGGAGTGAGAACATGTGGCGACTTGTTCCGTAGAAATGGTACTTCATTTGCGTTTCCCGCCAAACACCACTGCCTTGCGGTTAGGCTTTTGAGCCAAAGGCTTTGGTTGAGGACCCTAATTCCTCCTGTCTAGGTGTGGGCGCCCTGACAGTATCCCAGCCCTCGTACAACCATGACATTCACGAAATCCTGGCAGGTGTCGAACACACTTAGATGTGTGTTCGTTCGGTAACGAATGACTGATAAGCATTCCTCCTGCTAGCTTGCTTGTAGTCTGTAGTTAGTTAACACACCTGGGTACAGTCCTAAGTTACAAACCGGAAGATCGTAGACTCCCACTGCCACAACGCAACGCTGTGGGTTTCCAACGAGAACAAAGCGGCTCTAAAGTGATCCTCGCGTATTGGCGTAGGTTGGCTTAACCCACAGGGTGACTTCACATCAAATGGCGGTTCATTTTTCTGTTTACTTCAAATTTCTGGTGCCGCGCTTGTCAAACCGCGGAAGACTACCCTTCGATCTTGTAAGTGACCGGTTATCGACTGTCAGTGATGGACGGCTATTTGAAGAACCACTTGTCCCACGGTGTACTTAGTAGTCCAAAGTACCATTAGAACGCAGGAGCAAGCAGACAGCTGTGTTCGGTGATATATTAGCTGGCCTCCGCAAATGGAACGAGCCCAATGAGTGAATAGCAATCAGGTCACATGACATGTAAACTCAGCATGGCCTAGTATTCGTGACAATACAAGCGACTGTCTTGGTTTTAATGGGTTGTTATTCAGTCGTTTTCAAAACCAGTCTTCCATCACCGTTACGTAACAAACAAGCACAGTTTGTGACAACAACTCACTTTGATGACTTTGTTCTGAACTCGCATTCGGTTGAGCAATTTGATGGCGCGCCGGGCGTCGGAGGCATTCACGTAATTCACAAATCCATAGCCCAGACTTTGACCTGAGGGGGAAACGGATGCATGGTTTTAGGCAGTGACATTTTTCCATGACAGAGCCAAACAACCAGAGAGTTGTAAAACTCTACGTCACAGTCATTTTTCGTGTAAAGCAATTACAGCTGAATCTGGGCTGAAGAGCAAACTATTCCTAAACAGTCGTTGTAAGTGAAAACTTGAAATGAGCTTCCTCTACTGCGACACCAAGATACTCGAGTGCAAAACAGCCAATTGGCACCCATTTTACGTCCTGCTGCTATCTCAGTTTGTGCACCCATCAAAATGTAATATCACGGAATAGCTTGACTTCATGAAAGACGAGCCCGAGCGGCGGTGATCTTCGGTAATACTCGAAGGTGTCTACGCTGAGTGGTTATCACTATTCCTCATTCCAGACGTGGGGAAATATTCACTGAAAGGTTCGGTAATGAACAGCTAGGATATTGTGAGGCCGTTTTAGGTTTTTTCGAAAATAAACTAACAGTGGTATTGATACCGTGGGGAACTGCCGAGGGTGACTCCTTGGACAACTCAGGACCTATTTTGCCGGGCCTACCGCTCCTCAAGACTCCACCAACTTATGTAATCCGTCACGACCCACCTGAATATTGGCTGCGACAAACAAACAAAATGTTACTGACAGAATCTTTCGTTTCTAATTTTATCCAAAATTCCCACGAACTTCATGTTCAGTATTAGAACATGCGTCGCCGTTTTGAATATCGTTCGAACTGAGGCGTAAGATGTATTCAGAATACTTTTATGACCTTATTTGTAAATGAGGATTAGATGAGCTCGTCATACATGCCCGCAAGATCCAATCACATGTCAGTCGGAAATAAATTACCGCACCACTCATAAGGTTGTTGAGAACTCTTCGACAGCCGACGACCGGTTTTGCCCTGCTTGAGTCTCATTAGGTAGGCACAGTACTCGGGAATTATGTCAACCTCTTGTTCTTTTTGAGCCCAAATTGAACGAAGCTCGACAACTACACTCATTTACATACCAATTTGGTCTTTGGGTGATGTTCAACTGAATCGCAGACGAATCTCTCATTTTTGATTTTTTTAAATGAATAAGCTACACCTGTGTTACGGACCGATGTAACACATTCAGTTGGAGAACATCGCCATAAGGGAGAGATTCAGCTGAGATTCAGGTGAGTCTCCCGTGAAATTCAAAGTGGAATGCAACTGACACCTCTTTTTTTAAAAAAAAGGAGGGAATCTAAATAAGAGAGTTTTTTGCCAGTCAATGTACATTTTCAGTCTGACTGTACTGAAAATTTTGTAAAATGACTTCATCGCCAAAAATGCGGTCTGGGGAGATAAACAGTTAGATTGGAATGTTGGTTTTTGTCCTCTTGTCAAATCTTGACTGTTGAACCTCAAAACGGTCGAAATGTCAGAACACCCTCCCCATGGTGTAATTTCCTGTACTGGAATCACCTACCCCCGGGGTCCATTAAGGGATGAACCTGAATTCGGAAATCGCATAGGTCACAGGGCCTGTCAGACCTCGTTACTTGTCTTGCTTTTTGTCAGTCAGAGCTGACCCATTTCCCATCGTGCTCGACCGTCAGACAACAGAATCTTACCAGGGCTACTTGACGAGCATTACTCGGGACAAAAGGACGATGGACTACTGTTCCCATGGCACAAACTAGGCATTGCTTATTGGCAGCATGGAACGTCCAATACTTATTCAGTTCGAGTCAGTGATCTCATCAAATTCACGAGGCGAAGGTTCAACTGGCAGACGAGACGGTGTGGTGGAAGCCTGACGCACAGTCAGCCAGAGTGAATAGACACCCGGTAAAACAGGGGACTTTGGATCGTTTTGCGCCGGTCAACATGGCGTGAGGTATGCTAGGATGACCGTGGTAGTGATTCCGCGATGACGCTGCCTGAGTATTTGGCCTTGTGTCTAATTTTAGCTTGAGATTGCCTACAAAGAAGAGAGTGCATTTTGGGGAACGCGTGATGTTGAGGTTATACTTCAGTCACTCCCGTGTCCTTCTACGATGGGGACCGCGTGATCCTCACTGTGCCTGGTTAGCGACACTACAAGATATGGCTGCCAACCGATGTCAAGGGCGTTCATGCTGTCAGTTTCTATCCAGATTGCCTGAGTGATTGTCTGGAGGTGTAGGCACCTCGGAATGATTGTGGTAAGCTAGCACTAAGTCCCTTCCCCGTCCACCTTAACTCTTTTCTTTACAATAAGGCTTTCAAACAAATCATGGTTGTACGGCAGTGAAAGCATCAATTTGAACACTGATGATGCTGCTGCTGATGATGCCCCGTGTCCTTCTCAAGGACGTTGCTAGTCAAGCAGTCGATTCCAATAATTCTAGGATATAATAATGCACTTTAAGTGAGTTGTACGCGGACATAACGAATGAATGTGAATCGATTGCTTGTGATTCAGCTAGTGAGCTGAGCTGGGGGCTCCATAAAACTGTTTTCAGAAAAATCTGACCGCTATTTGAAGATTGCTTCGGTAGTTGACACCCTCTCGAGAAATCGCCCCCCCCCCCAGAAGTGTACCAGTTTTCTGTTCAAGACAGCAATCTAGGGTTGAAATATCTGTGTAAGATAGCCCGGAAACCTTGTGGTTTGACAAAAAACCAACCGTGAGACGAACGTGAACAAAATTCATCCCTCCATCAGGCACGTAAACGGTGAGTATGAAGAATCCACCAGAAAACTCTCTACCTGCACAGGACATCGGGATTTGACGGATTTTACTTCAGCGGAGATTTCAAATTTCCAAAATGCTCAGTCAATCCGCATGAGGGTGAAAGAGAAAACTCTTGCCAGACACGATGACAAAACCAGCAACCTGATTGCATCTGAACGGTTGTAGGACAGCTGTCTCCTCAAATAGCCAAAAGCGATTCAAGTTGATTGTCCGTCTGGTTTTCACACAACAGATCTCATGTCACTTTTATTTTCCCCCTAATGCCATGGAAACGTTTGTGAAAACCAAATCAAACTGTCCCAACAAAGTCGGGTCCAGCTTGTTTCTGGATTGAACAAACGACTGTAAACCTGATCATCTCATATGGAAACTGAAGGAAATTTACGCGGTATGATTATCGATTTTTTCGGTGATTGTTCCTAACTTTCGCTGACGCGTTGAAGAACCAGAAGAAGACCCAGGTCTTCAAGAGATACTCAAATGAATCTTTCGTTTTTGTTGTTTAACCGGAAGCGTGGGAAAATGCTGTTTCATTTTTCAACTGGCGAGATAACAGGATATTGCAGTTTATTTTCGTAACATAGCACACTACTCATAAGGTTGCTGAATAGTCTTCGACTGTCCAGTACAGAGAATCAGTTGCACAGTTGAAAGCATAGTCTTCTAACATGGTAAAAGTGTTTTTGACGGACAACCACACCGCATTTACCATTATGAATCGTTCCGTCTGCTGTGCTTTGAAATCTTTGCAGTGTAAACTGATGGTTCCGACTGGCTGGCAAACATCAGGGGAGCTCAAAACGGTTAGGCAAAAGAGGAGTCTATCGAACGAAGCCTACAACAGGCCTGGCAACAAACTCAAACAGTACACTGATTGAACTTCACCGACCGGACCCAGCTTCTCAGAGAGAAGTTCGGCTCAATTCGATATCGCATTAGGTTTTTGCATCGCTGTGATTTTACTGTATTTCGTTAAATGTCTTCTTGAAATTGAGCTCTCCCTGTACATTAATTCTTCAAAGCTACTCGGACATCCACGCCACTGGAATAGGTGTGCGTTCGGTAACCTTTGAAATACAAGCCTATGCTGCAGGGATAATTTGAGCATTCAAACTACTAGGATTACCTCGACGGATTCTGGGTTAGTTGGACTGCTTTGATCGTCAAAATTGACGGGAATATTATTGGCTGAAAGGATAAAACCGTCTTCCACCAGACTGCTGGTGAAGAACAAGGCCTTCATAGAAAAGTGAGCCCATGTCGCGAACGATCGATCGCATCATTTTGTCCCCCTGTCTGTAGTAAGCTTCGATTAGGAGACACCAGAAGCTTAGCGACCAAGCGAGAAATTGCATCGAGAGCCTTCATTAACGCCAAAGCCTACCGCATTTCAGGCTACAAATATAACCTCACTACTTGAGGGTCTTTAGTGAGATACCCTTTTTGAGCAGTTTATGAGGACTATTCGTTTATTCCCGATCACTGGCTTGCAATTTTGCTATGAATTTAATTTTTTAGCCGCGCTTGAGTATAGGTGGTTTGTTCACATGCCCACGCTGTCTCCTGGGGCAACCCGAATAACAGTGCGTCTTCTCTCTGACGCTAGAGTGGAAAGAACTAAATGCGAACTGGTGAATTTACTACCTTCAACATAACAGACACATTGTCCAATGGTTACTACATCGATCGATGAAAAGGAATTTAGTAAACTCCTGACTGAGTTCTCGGTGAGAAGGATCGACAATCGATCATTCATCTCATTCAATAGAATCCCTACGGATTATATCTATATATATATATTTTAGGTCTATTAAACATGCGGTTGGGTTTCCAATGCATGAAATCACGTGGAATTCACTGAGGTCCTTGCATTTCATGCACGCACACACACACACACAATGCAAGATGGTTTCGATCACCGGAAGTCCGATCCCGAATCAGTTTACAGCTGGTCAGTTTCCCAATCTTGGAAAACATGGTTCGCATCTCCTCTTGAGTCATTGTTTGTGGCAGGTAGTTCACAATGAGGTTGGTTTGATTATCGCCATGTTGCTCCCCGTCTTCCCCGACCCCGACCTCCTCCTCTTCTAGAGCAGTTCTTTCCATTTTGGGCAGCATTTTTCGGTCGTAACTTTCAGACTCTTCCAAAGTGCGGGAAGCCTCCTGAATTTTTGCTGTTGTCAGACAGTCATTGTTGCCAGAGGTGAGGTCTGATTTGGCCATTTGGTAGTGAACCTGAGTTGTCATTTCACAGGTGCGGTTGGCTTAGACAGGAGAATAGTTTACCAGAGCTGAAAATGAGAATGAAATAGTTTCATTAAACAAAACTTCAACGTGGAAAGAGGTAAAAAGAAAGATTATGGCCGTCTTGTGACATTATAATTGGGAGCAATTTTCGTGTAATACCTTTGACAACCGAAACAGACTTTCTCTGTAATCTACTACTCATAAAGTTGCTAGAAATCCGTCGACAGTCCACGACCGGTTTTGCCCTTCTTGGGGCTCATCAGGTAGGCGCAGTCCTCGGGTTTCCGTCAACCTTATGTTCTACTTGAAACTGAATTGCACGAAATTAGCGAATATACACTCACTTGCAAACTAATTTGGTTTTTCGAGAGACTCACCTGGAACCCAGCTGGATCTCTCTTTTGTGATGTTGTCAGGCAGTCATTATTAGAAGCTGACTGATTGATAGAGCGACGCTTTCGTTTCTCACTCTAAAGATAACATCCGTCATATTAAGCGCCAGTTTCAAGGTCCTACGTCTGGTCCCAAATAAATCGAGAAAAAAAAACAAAAAATGTGACGTTACTCGTAGCAAAGGGATGATTTTGAGAGCGCTGTTCGTCTGCAGTCTCGGTAAAACTGATTGGAGCCTGGGAAAATCCATGTGATGAAAAGATCCGCACTTTATCAGCTGACCCCAACTCTACTCTTGTCAAATCCAGGGGCGGATTATCGATCGTCAGATATCGAATCGATGCAGAGTTGAACACATATCACCGTTGCACGTACTGGCGGGAAGCAAGCGGCTGCAGATTCTAGAGTCCCCTAAAGTATCACTGGGTGAGTTTTTTTCAAGCCTGCTCTCTGCGATCAATGGAACGTTTAAATTATCCTGAAACCGCTTCGGTTTTAAAGAATGAGTCTTTTGAAGGTCACTGCTAACTCTCCGACAACCCATCGTCTTTGCAGAAGCTCACCAGTCAGATGTAGTCCCAGTTTCTGGCGAACTTGTGTTCTACTTAAGCCCGTAATGCACCAAGTTTGCAAACCAGAAGAGTAAATTATATTCTGTTGACCCGTATAATGAAAGTAGTCTCCACACCGCTGGACAAATCGGTTGTTCGGTACTGTTTATGTTCAAAGCTACTGAAGGACACGGCTTGCACATGTCCTGACAGTTGTGAATAACGATGATCGGCAGTTTTCGAAAAATACACTCATTTGCAAACCAATTAATTTCACGAGAGACTCAAGTGAATCCCTCGTTTATGATATTCAACAATTAAATGTGCTGGACATAGCCGCCTCGTGATTCATTTGGCACGATATTCGAGATATCGCAGTATATTTTCATGAAGGAAACTACGCACAAGTTTGCTGAAAACTCGTCGACAGCCCACAACCAGTTTCGCCCTTCCGCTTGGGGCTCATCAGGTAGGCGCAGTCCCCGAGTTTCCGTCAACCTTATGTTCAACCTTATGGCCAGAGCTTTCTCTGTATGCTTCAACCGCGAATGAATCGATGAGCTTCTCCCGCCCGAATGCGACGAGTTATTTTCGATCTTGTTCTTGCAGTTGTCCTATAGCCCACATTTAATGGAAGACAATCGTGTAAGTTTGAACTACCACCCCAATGTACCCAACTACACTTTTTTATATCACCCATGTACCTGTGTGTACACTCTGCAACAACAGCGAAACACCTGTTCGGCCCGCCAGCTAATTGACGCATGTCACGTGTACAGTCAAGTTTTTCTCCATATCGGGCTAGTTAGCCAGCCGGTTCCTGTGCTACGGCGTTAGGGCACGCTCAGTCACACTCCCCCCCACACACACGCAATTATCGCTAGCCCTTTGCGATGAGGTGCGTGCACACACAACGGACTAACCCTGGCGTCCAACACAAGGTTGCCATGCTCCTGGACTACATCTGTGCCGTGAATGACCCTCTATCAGTTAGTTACTACGGTTTACTCCGGTACGAAGCGACATGGTCTGCTATATGGAATCGATTAGGCACGCCTTTGAACATGTGCACGCATACACATGCGAACACACAAGACGTAAGCTTTTATCTCTGCTGTTCGCGTTCGCCCCGTAGCGGCTACACATTGTAACTGAGTTGTTGTGCAAAAGACACCCAAAAGAAAAAAAGAAACACCACTATTGTTTCCCTTGGATTTATAGCCTAAACGTGTTCGGTAAGCGGAGACCTGTCAACCGAGTTAAGTGTAGGTAGAGGTTTTTCGCGAGTTGTATTTTAAACCGTTAAAACAGAAAAAAATTAACTGGCCTGGTAGAAACATGTTTTGCACTAAATGGGGGATAAGAATGATCGATTGCACAGTTATGCTATTTTTTATGAGGACTTACTTGGTCATAAACAGCAGACCAGTGGAACGTTTTAAAGGCTCTACTGAGGTCTATCGGTACTGTTTGTATGTGGGTTCAAACCATCGAGCATCAGGTCAGTGAATCGTATAAAATAGAAAAATACTTGTGGAATATGGGTGGCTCGGGTGCACTGTTTGGTGGTTGGTCTGTTTGCTGAGCTTGTCAGTTGGATTGCAAACGTTTCATCTCAAAATGAGATGACATATTGAGTGCGGGGTTGAGTGGGTGAATTCCTTCTCTTCTAAACAACATCCGGTAGCTCTAAAGTGATTGGTTCGTCCCGAGGCGGTCTTCGTGCAGTTTGCTTGGGCACCTGTGAATCTGAGTTGGTTCGACTCCCTTGTGTCTGGTTGGTTGGTTGGTTGGTTGGGCACGTTCAATTCGACAGTTCCGCGTTGTAATTGGGCTGTTTCCTTCTTGCATTGTGGTCTGATTTTGTTCAGCTGATTGGTTGAATTACTGGCTTTCCGTTTTTTATCGGTTTTCTTCCTTTGAACCCGTTGGTCTGTTGATTTTCATTAGGTTTCTTGAGTTCCCATGTGCTCAGAGTCCCGTGACTGTGTAGTTCTTTTGCTCATAATGGCTGCAAATGTCTTTATTGATCGATTTTTTTGTGGAGTCCCACGCCTCGGCAAACTCTCACTCCCGTTTTGTTTTTGTATTTGAAAAATAGCGAATATACATTCATTTGCAAGCTAATTTGGTTTTTCGAGAGACTCACCTGGAACCCAGCTGAATCCCTCGTTTGAGATGTTTCGTGCAATTTGGTTTCAAGTAGAACACAAGGTTGATGGAAACTCAAAGATGGTTGGGCAGTTCAATTCGACAGTTCCGCGTTGTAATTGGGCTGTTTCCTTCTTGCATTGTGGTCTGATTTTGTTCAGCTGATTGGTTGAATTACTGGCTTTCCGTTTTTTATCGGTTTTCTTCCTTTGAACCCGTTGGTCTGTTGATTTTCATTAGGTTTCTTGAGTTCCCATGTGCTCAGAGTCCCGTGACTGTGTAGTTCTTTTGCTCATAATGGCTGCAAATGTCTTTATTGATCGATTTTTTTGTGGAGTCCCACGCCTCGGCAAACTCTCACTCCCGTTTTGTTTTTGTATTTGAAAAATAGCGAATATACATTCATTTGCAAGCTAATTTGGTTTTTCGAGAGACTCACCTGGAACCCAGCTGAATCCCTCGTTTGAGATGTTTCGTGCAATTTGGTTTCAAGTAGAACACAAGGTTGATGGAAACTCAAAGACTGCGCCTATTTGATGAGCCCCAAGAAGGGCGAGACCGGTCGTGGGCTGTCGAAGAGTTTTCAGCAATCTTGTGAGTAGTTTCCTTTATGAAAAGGCCTGGGGCGGTTTTTGCCGCACACATTTATCTGAACATCGTAATCGAGAGTCTCAGCTGAGGTTCATTTGAGTCCTTCGTGGAAACCATATTAGTGAATTCATTCTGGGCCTCTGTATTAGAAAATTTCACAATCAGATGTTTTGGAAACTCTCGGGGGTCTTTTTACAAGCAGTAATGTGCTATGATCGTAGGTCTGCGTGGAGGTTTGTCAAGGTCAATGGCGTTTTCAGTTAAATCGTCCAACAGTTATGTGATAGTTTGAGCTCATTTTGATAGGCTTGTGGGGAAACATGGACTAGTGATCTTGATGCTCGGAAGGTCAGTAAACTATGTTGAATTTGAATCGAGAATGAATAGATTTCACACTGAGGAATTTTCCTAAAGAACGATACAGGTTTAGTGATTGCTTCAACTAATGTTGATTCATTGACCCGCGAAATCTGTCTGGACTACCTTTGCAAAGACCCCAGAGGCTGAAGCCCCTTCAAAGCAAATGGATCTCATGAACTTTCATTCAGGTCCGATATTCTGTTGGGAATTAAGGTGTGATTAAACAGTAAGTGTGTAACATTTGACGCAGGACACCCATCGATTGGGTAGCACAAAGTCGATTAGGGCACCCGCACAGGAACATCATTCAAAAAAGTAGAAACTGTTCGAAACATAGCCGAAAGACAAAGTTGGAAAATATCAGGAAGGTCAGCTTCCTGAAAGCAACCACTGAATGCCCGGAATCTACGGAGAACCTCAGCTCCGCTAGATGTTGACCAGACAGACAATGCCCCCGCAATATGCAGCGCGTCGCAGCCTCGTACCAAGGCCAGACGGCGTGCGTCAGCACTGGACCAAGTTCAGACAGAGTCCCTCCAATAAATAGCTTGAGACCGTTGTACATTCGCACTCGCAGGCACTCACGCTCTCGCGCTCGCTTGTTCGGAATACAGCTGCTGTGTTCTCTCCTGTGAATCTTTTTTCTCCGACACTAGGCAGCAGATATAACAGGAAATAGCAGGTGGGAATTCAACCAAAGAGACAAGATGATGCGCAAAGTGGGAGAACACAGACCTACTGGGCTTTAGGCCATTTTTGCAAATTCCCGAAGAAAACAATCAACCCGTCAAGGTTGATGAGACGCTACGCATTATCCATTACCCTGATAAATAATACTTAAGTATCGCGGGGTTAATTCCTCCTCAAAATCTCCGCTCCTTCAATACAACTCAGTTCTTTGACTGACTCAAATGGATCAGCATTGGAGACAGTTCGTGAATACCACCATTGTTAACCCTAGTGTTCAGTCACATAAGTTCAATGAGCTGTC